ACATGAGGTCATATTATACGAGATCGTATTACACATGAGGTCGTATTACACATGAGGTCGGATTACACATGAGGTCGTATTACACATGAGGTCGTATTATATATGAATAAATACGGTAAGTTAATTATTTTAGGAAGGTGTTGCTATAATGGACTGATTTAACTAGTGACCAAATATCTTCTGGTTAGTAAACTCACAGGAACATCACAAACTGGAGGATGTATTGATAAATATGTTGATTCAAACCATAAAAAAACTAATACTAGAACTAATAAAATCTAAACTAAAACTAAGCATTACAAATGCAATAATAACTAATAAAAACTAACAAAACCACTGTAAAACCTAATTAAAACGGAATTAAAAGAAAAAAAAGTCAAAATGAAATAAAATTAAACTATAATGTAAAAAAAAAACTATTATAATCTTTCTCCAAACGTTTCAGTTTGTTTCAATGTGTTTCACAATCCAGCTCCAGGAAGTTGAACTGGAACAGCCTCCATGACTGGAGAGAAAAATGTCTTCTAGACATGTTTAAAGTCTGAACTCCATGTTTGAGGCATGGAGCTGCTCCTCACAGCAGACTGGTAGTTCCACACTTTACAACTCATTCAAGGAAACAAATGTTCATTTAAAGACTCTGGGTTGTTTAACATGTGTGACCTGAGTCTGTCTCACGTGTCTCCAGTCTTCTCGCTGCAGGGCGTAGCGTCCTCTTGTCTTTGTCCTCACCGGCTGTTTGTGGTTTTCAGGTCGGACTACGATGACTGGAGACCGGCTCTGGCCAGCCTGCTGCAGCCCATCCCCTTCCCTAAAGAGTGAGTAATGCTCTCAGCTGGTTCACCTTCAGTAAAACACAGTAACTGTCCTCTGTCAGCTTAAAGTGATGAAATGAGACATCAGATCTGGATCTGATTGGTCCCTCACATGAAGAAGACCTGGACCACATAACAGTCAGACTTGGGTCACTTCTGTCTGCAGAAACCTGATTACAGATTACAGACTACAGACATCTGTTCACTTTGATCAAAAACAACAGAGAAACATCTGCTCCTCTGTCCTGAGGGACCAAACTTTACAGAAACTTTACTGAAACTTTAAACTTTACTGAACATTATTGAAAAATTTACAGAAACTTTACTAAAATGTTACTGAAATGCCACTAAAACTTAACTAAACCTTTACAGAAACTTTATGAAAACTACAGAAACTTTATGAAAACTACAGAAACTTTATGAAAACTACAGAAACTTTATGAAAACTACAGAAACTTTATGAAAACTACAGAAACTTTATGGAAACATGACTGAAAATTTACTAAAATGTTGCTACTAAAACTTGACTAAACCTTTACAGAAACTTGATGAAAACTACAGAAAAATGACGAAACTTTATGAAATCTTTACAGAAACTTTTCGGAAATTTTTCAAAACTTTTACTGAAACTTCAGAGGAGGTTCAGGTTCAGGAAGGAAACTATCAAAAATTTGCAATTTGAAAAAACTTTTCATGGGAATTAAAAAAGATTAACGGGTAGAAA